AGGGATTATGAGGGCATTGTAGTTAACTAAGACCAAACCTCAAGGGTATTTCTGTAATTAACCCTTGCAGGGTTTCTGTTCCAGTAATTTTATCGTGTGTTTAATTTTATTTTTTTTCCGCGTATTTTTGTTATTATTTTGTCAGGCTGAAGTGAAATTTTTGGGTGATCTTGTTCATTCTAATTTGGTCAAATTAATTGGTTACTGCATTGAGGATGATCAGAGGCTACTTGTCTATGAATTCATGCCTAGAGGAAGCCTGGAGAACCATCTATTCAGGAGTATGTATCTAACCTTATTTTAGTTTATCAGCACCCTTTTATTGATGAATGTTGTTCTTCTATGATGCAAACTGTTTGGGACTGAACGTTAAACCGCTGTATACTATATCTGATTTATAAAATTTGTGTGCATGTACATGTCTGTTTTTATAATTACTATGTTTCTGTAATTTGAAGATTTAGTTTAGAGGCCACAACATTTCCTTGATTAAAGCAAGTATTTTTTTTATTTTTTTTTGGTTAAGATTTTGAGTTGGATTGTGGGTGTGAACATAAAGTTTCAGTCTTGTTACATTTTTTACTTCTTTCTTGTAGACTTCATATTAGTTCTCTATACAAATGTGTGTAAAATGACGAAAACTTTGACAACTTCAAATTCAGGATCCTTGCCACTTCCTTGGTCTATCAGGATGAAAATAGCTCTTGGAGCTGCAAAAGGACTTGCTTTTCTGCACGAGGAAGCTGAAAGACCTGTCATATATCGTGATTTTAAGACGTCTAACATCCTCTTGGATGCTGTAAATTCCCATAACTTTGTTTCCACATCCTTCAAAATTACATTTATAATTGTGATTTTACTTTTTCAGGGAATATTTGAGATTTTAAAGATAATTGTTCTCCTTTTTATTATTTATTTTTTATTTTTTTTCGTAAATAGACTAAACATGACAGATTGTTTTTTTAGTTATCCTTATTCATATTATTGAACTTATTTTTTAGGAGTACAATGCCAAACTTTCTGATTTTGGACTTGCTAAAGATGCTCCAGATGAAGGAAAAACTCACGTTTCTACACGTGTGATGGGAACCTATGGTTATGCCGCCCCAGAATATGTCATGACAGGTAAAACTTATTTATTATCCATATTTTTTCATTTTCTTTTATTGTAGAGTGATGCTCCATATCAGTATGCAAAACATCACGACATCACCCATGTCAAGAACATATGTCATTATGAGTCTCTCTTTTGAGTTAGACCTTGGACAAAATTTTTCACAATGAATTGCGATTATGATTATACAGCTAGTTAAGCTGTTAATTCACTCTCCGACAATTTTTTTTTTTTTTCCGACTCAACAACTGCTACTAAATAAAAGAAATAAGGTCTATGCAACCGCTTCACAAACGTATGAAAAATTTCTTTACCGTTAAATCGGCTTATTTAGAGCGTGAATTATATTTTGGTGGGGAATTTAATTCTTTTCAATAAATATTAGCTAATACCCAATTGATTCTTAATAAAAAAAGCATTCTCCTTTTAGGGCATCTTACGTCGAAAAGCGACGTGTACAGCTTTGGAGTTGTCCTCCTCGAGCTAATCACGGGCCGAAGATCAATGGACAAAACACGGCCTAAAGATGAACACAACCTCGTCGAGTGGGCCCGGCCTCATCTGTGTGACAAAAGACGGTTTTATCGCATGATAGATCCTCGGCTGGAGGGCCGCTTCTCGGTCAAGGGAGCCCAAAAGGCGGCCCACCTGGCGGCCCGTTGTCTCTGCCGGGACACGAAAGCCCGGCCCACAATGAGCGAGGTTGTTGAGGTCTTGAAGCCTCTCCCCAACCTCAAGGACATGGCCAGTTCTTCCTACTACTTCCAAACTGTTCAATCTGAACGGGCTGGGCCCAGCCCGAATGGGAAAGCATTGTTCAGAAATGGGCCTCAGCCAATGAGAAGCCTCTCGATTTCGAATGGGGCCTCGTTTCAGGCCTCGCCCTACCGTCTCGCTCGAAATTCACCGAAACCGAAGGGGAAAGCTTAAAAATGTTTTTTTTTTTTTTTTTTCCTTTTATCTGTGTTTTTTTTCCCTTGATGCTTATGTGGAAATACACTAGAAATATACACTGCTATGGAAATGAAGGTTTAGTAAATGGGTTGAATGTGTGTAAATGGTGGAATGTGGCTTGCCCTTTTTCTCTTTTTGTAAGATTTATCAAACGATGTCGTTTAACAGTTCAGTTAGTGTGTTTCAAGTTTTCAACATGCAAGTCTTCTTGAAGATAGGTGCATTATATGAGTTGTGTTGTCTTTCATTTAAGTGTATTGCTCAGTTATATGATTGCATAAATTGTACCGAATATTTCAGATTAATTGGATTAATGTCAAGAATATCTATCCAATCTTTATACATAGTGATTACAAATTTTTATCTCTAATGTCTTCAGCCATGTATGCACGATTGTGTTTGCAGAATTAAAAGCAACTGGGGATTTTCGAAAATTAAGCTGAACGCGTGTTACGCTAGTGCTTTTTGATCTTCCAACAAAATCCAGTCAACGTCTAATGGAGCATATGGTCTAAATCAAGCTCAAACAAGTGACACTTAACATTAAAATATATCATCAGTCTTATATTGTAAAACAAGGAAGAAAAAGAAAAAGGAAAGAAAGAAAAAGCAGGCTAACAGCATAATTGCATTTGCATTTTGCACACTAAGATTCCTCATGCGGTCAGATACATTGTTTATTTATACTCCGAAGTATGAATATTTTCAAAGGCGTATGGTATACTCACTCTCTTTTTGTCCAACTCGTGAGACGGCATTTGCTATTGCCAATCACGATTCAAGATCAAGAATAATCATTTCTCTTACGATTATAGGGTATAAATAATCAGCTGGTCAACTGTAGCCAATAATCATTAATTACGTTCAATGTCACATGAATTTGATAATCGCAGCTTCATCATTATTATGAAAATCAATCACATAAATTTATCAATTCATGCTCCATATCTGCTGGATATAATAATTAAAATGAAAAAAAATAAAAAATAAAACAAGGATATCATCAAATCACGCCGTGAAAATTTAACTTGGGACACGAGAAAAAAATTCTTCAGACTAAACTCCGCCAGACCAGAACTCCCACGCTTCAATATCCCAAAGAAATAAACGATGGCACATCATACATCATCATTATACACAAAATACTCAAATTTTTTCAAAGAGTGTTTGATAAATGATTCTTTATTTTATATACACAAAAGACTCACAACTTTAGTATTACCACTCATAAGGAACTGATACAAAGACTCTTAATGGAATTTTTTTATTTCTCAAGCACATAACAGCTGGTAATTGTTTGTCTCAAGCAGCGTTTCTGGTTAGCTGATCCATTGATGTGCTCTCGAATATCTTATCCGCATTTCCAACTTCAAAACCATCTCGTCTATGGAACTCTTCAACCTATGCAGTTGAGCCAAAAATATTTAGAAAAGCAATCAACAATTAGGCGCCGACAATCATTGGCATAGCATTACGAAAACAAAAATGATGGTCCAAAATGCATGGAGTTCTGGATTTGCTTGTAAATTAGATTACCTATACTATTATAAAAGCTAATCATACATTAAGAAATAATTTGTTCTTCTCAATCTATTTTCTGAAAAGCAAACCCAAAGCTTCAGAAGAATGCATAAAAGGACAAAATGTTCAGTAGACATTAAAAGGTAAACCTTATCCTCTGGTAGATTCTTGAACTGAGGAAGTATAAGGCGTTCAGCAAACTCAATATATGAGCATGGGATAGATTCTGAAATTCCATCAGCAAATTCGAAGGAAGTTAAATTTGCCACAGTTGAGCTTTGTAACAAGAGGCCATCTGGGCTCACTGCCAAAATAATAACAAATAATGATTATAATAACACAGTAACTGTCCTTGTCTTTCGTCAAAATTAACTGAATCGTAATTTAAGATTAGTCCCCTATTGTCCTTTTTATTTTATCAAGAAATAATACAATGGTCTAGAAATTATATACCTTTTAGATTCTTGTGTTATGTTGGGATAGAGATTGATGAGTTGATTGTGTTTCTGTTTCTTTTCATTCTGAATTTTATGTTTTCCAAATATTTGACAATGTAACACAGTGTAGACTCTCCACTACACTTCACTGATTTTTCATGTAATGTAGCACGGGTCCATATACCCCACAACAGAATAGGGTAGTTGAAAGCAAACATAGGTCTCTACTCGAGATAGCAAGACCACTTATGTTTCAGTGTGATCAAGAAAAGAAACTTTGGCCTTGTACATTGTTCGGAGTTATTCACATAATGAATTCACTACCCTCTGAAATGCTTGGATGGAAGTCTCCATATGAGGTGTTACATGGAAAGGCACCTATGTATGACAGATTTAAGGTCTTTGGATGTTTGGCTTATGCTTCAAGAAACTCACCACATAAAAAGAAGTTTGACTATGTGAATGTCGTGAAAGGATTTAGAGTATATGACTTGGAGACTGATGAGGTATTTGTGACAAGGGATATCATATTTCACGAATCTGTTTTCCCTTTTCCTTAAGGACAATGTTATTCATAAAGTGCCTTTGCCTTTGGTAATTGATGAAAGGGAGGGAGAGCTGGAGAAATTGATGAGTTGATTGTTGGGATGGAGGTATTTGATGAATCTGGTAGTTGATTGAATGGAGGTATTTTATTCAAACGAACCAGACTGGTCGATAAACCGATTCCTGGTCCATCTGGTCGGACTGTCTCGTCCGGTTTAGGAAAGAATTGGAAAATTATGATTAATGTTATTTATATATGTAATACAATTGTAGTACTATTTCTCCGTGGACCGCGTACTAGTATGCGTCAAAAAGGAAAAATTTTTGGTCACTTGAGACGATATAGCTGTGACATTCAACATTCTTTTCCTTTAATTAAATTTTAGGACTTAGAAGAGATGGGTTATAGCAGGGATAAATCCAAGAGGAAAACAACTTAAAGTGAACACAGTGAGAAAATGTGATTAACAGGAAAAGTTCACTTAACATTCAAATTTAGAATTCGTTCTGAGGCAATATAATAGCGCAAACTGACCTTTTAAAACTCCTCCTTCAGAATTCAACTTGAAGCCATTCTCCTCAATGAACTGGTTAAGATTTTTGATATTTGCTAGATGTGATTTGAGCCGGTGAACAGATATGGTGACGTGATTTAATGCATACCCATTAACAAGAGTCCAGGCTGCATATTCACTTTCCCTGGAAATTCACAACTTCTCCCACTCATTAGAATACCAAATGTAGTCCAATTTGACTTGAAACAAAATGAAGGCTGAACTGAACATCCAGGCAGGAAGCAGCAAAGTGGAAGCTTGCCCCATCAAGTATTAATCAATAGAATTTTATTTATTTTTAAATAATGAAAATTCAAGTTCTTTTCGTAAATAATAATAATAATAATAATAATAATAAAAAAAAAAAGCTAAATCATGGATACAGAAAATTACAAACTTTGCTAGCTGTTGAAATTCAGAATAAGTGGGCTTCTCCCATGTCAAGCATCCCAGTGCACTTGCCACAGCGGCATGCATACTTCCATTTCCCGATAATTCAGTGTATTTTCTAACTATTTTCTGCAAAATTAGAAGCGAGTAATGGAGCATAAATTTGAAAATAGTAAATAATACACAACACCATCTGTTATCAAATACAGCGATAACACGACAATCAGTAAGCAGGCAATCGATTCATAACACAAGCCAAAGAAAGGAAACAAAATATGAAAAATCAAAGCAGTCAAACCTGAGCTTCAGGAGACATTTGATCGACAAGAAGCTCGGATATAAATATCCTCGGCAAGGGTCCATTAACTCCTGAGCCAGCATTAGCTGTAAGAGGAACTTTAGGGGGTGAAAACCAGAATGCTTTCAACTTCTTCGCAGGGAACCTTAACTCTTCCCTTTGGACATAACCAAAATCCAAGAAAACTTTTGCCATTGAATCAATTCCATGTCCGTTTACCTATATGCGATAAACAATTGTGACAATACAATTATTCGCAACCAAACTTTTCTAGTGACGAACTTTTTAGTACGGGAAATCTGAAGTAAATTAGCTGCAAATAGAGAAGAGTTTGCATTTCATGAGATGAAATTAAATCAACAAAAATAAAATTACCCCAAAAGTCCTAAAAGCAAAATGATCATAATATATGCAATCGTCATCGACCGACCGAACGAGGTCCAGAATAGCTTTTGCTGTGGGATTTTTGTTCATGTAAACAGTCTCCATAGTTGCCAATATGTTCCTGAAGAATGATTCCCCTCCCTGAAATCAAGAATCCAAATTATATTTATCGATTGTTCCAACAACTTCATTCAAGCTGAAAACCAAAAGGAGCAAACATTCAGTGTAATCTAATCTATCGATAACTTGCAGGTTCTGAAAAAGTTGTTAGTAGGACCACCTCTTACACTACCCCTACATGATTGTATTTATCTGTCCTTCCAATAACAAATTTCTTTCAATAGGAAATTGTTTTTTACTCCAGAAAGAATATAGCTTTTGAATTTATTTATTTATTTTTATTAGTCATATGCATCAATCCACTGTCAACATATACATTCAAATAGAGGTAAGTAATAACTCAAAGCTAAAAACTTAGAAGGCTGCCTATATCTTCCTTTCCAATTACATCTTGAAGAAAATTCCAATATGATGAAGGATTATCAAATTACATGACATACACACAAATAAGTAACACACACAAGTCCCTTAAAATTTTACATAAGCTTAACCACATAAAGTACTTACTCTTCTTTTTGTGAATTCATAAGAGCACTCAGCATATAATATGTATAAGGATATACTCCAAAAAAATTGACAAAATAAAATTAAAAAAAAATATGTAATGATGGGTGATCGAAGAAAATACCAGAAAAGAGCAATCTTGAGGATGCCTGTGATCACGGCAAGCTGACATGGCTGAGAAATTACGGGTTTCCCCTGAGATTTCTTTTCCACAGAAGACAAAATTATTCCTGGAACTCGAGAAAAAAAGGGAAGGCGACAAAGAGCGGAGCGATGAAAACGAAGGCAAAATACGAGATTCGATTGATAAAGAAAATCTCAGCATATTGTTCTTAGATTTTCCAAAAGAAAAAAAAAAGTTTTATTTTTCTTGTGTAGAGAGGGGTGCGTGTGCGATTTGCTTAGTGCAACTTGCATGAAGTGACGCTTGTATTTTAGCTAGATGATGGGTATGTTTGGTAAGTTTAAAATAAATATAAAAATTAAGTTTATAGTTGATAATTTGAGGATAATGTTTGACAAGCTGATGATGTATTTTTTTTTTTTTAAGGAGGCGAAGGGTATGTTTAATTTATAAGTTTCCTGTATTCAAATAAGCCTTGTTTGGTAGGACGAAATTTTTAAAGTTCGAGTTTATCACATAAGCTACTTTAAGCAGCTTTTCAAATAAGCTAGTTGAATTTTTTATTTCAGCTAGCTTATCAGCTAATTTTATTAAATATTTTTATCATATAAGTTAGCTTTTTAGCTATAAGTTATAAGCTATAAGCTATAAGCTCCAAAATTACATAAAAACTATAAGTTGGCTTATCAGCTATCAGCTAGTTCTACCAAACACAACCGAAATGCCCAAAAGTAAAGGGACACTACGTGACTACAATGTGCGGATAAACAACACCTGCTACGCCATACCAAAAAATAAACTCAACTGCTATTCACCGCCCCCCTTTTACTTGTCACCGCCCCCCCCAATTACTCTTTTGCCCTTAACCTTTTTTTGGATTTCATCTCTCTAAACTTTATCTCTCTAAATTTTCCGAACTTCAACGAACGATACGAGCATAAAAAAAAATCCGAAAAAATGTCGAAAAAATTCTACGGCCTCGGCAAAGGATTCTTCTCCGACAAGGTATTTTTTTTTTTTTTTTTTTTTTTTGCTGCGATCGAAAG